CCCACAGTAACCTGCACTTTATATGGAGGAGTTAATCATTGCAAATCCAGCATCAGACCACTTCCAGGAATAGCCAAATGGTCCACATATGCGGAGTGAGTTTACAGCAAATATTGGTTAGACTCCAGAGGGAAGTGCATATGGACATATTAAGGACACTGGTGGAATATCCCACAGTTGTGCAATTGGCATCAGGGAAGTAGGTTCCTTTCTGCGTTTTTCTGCTGATTTTCTCTGTGATCTTAGGCCAATTCTTGTCTCAGTTTCCATATCTGCAAAATAGGAATAATGAATACTAGCAAAATTGATTTGAATTCCTTGGAAAGGGCTACAGAAGGGCCAAGCACGCTTATTCTGAATAACCAGTTTTTGTAGACAGAAGATCTGTGGAATAGTGGCACAGAGGAGTAATGCTCCACAAATGGCTCCATACACACATGTAGCTTTTAGGGTTTCATGAAGAGTTTTATCCATGTGCCTTTTGCTCTGCTTGTTCTCAGAAATTATGATCCAAACCCCACTGAAGTCAGTTAGCTTGAGTGGGCTTTGAGTCAGAACCTGAGACAGCACAATGTTAATCACAAGAGGGCTCTTCCTGTGGCCCTTAAGTACACCAGGTGCTGGAGGGAGAGTATGGGGAGAAGAGGTACAAGTGTGCCAAACAAAGTCCTGGAGACCTTGTGGCCTTGATGCATTGTGTGATGTGGGGAGATGGCCTCAGGGCTCTGTGCCCCAGTTATTTTGTAGTTTATAGATTTCCTTTGAGTAAGGCCTTGCCTATACTTCAAAGTTTAAAGCACAGCCATGGCAACACAGTCAGGGCAGCAATGCTAGGAGAGAGAGCTCTCCCAGCACTCTAGGTTAACCATCTTCACAACACAAGTAGCCAACAATGCTTGGAATGTAGTTCCACCACACTTTGATATTCTGCTCTCTAGGTTCCCTTTCCGGAAAGCCTCCTCCTGACTATAACCATTTGGACACCAGAATTTCCCTGAAAACCAGCCAAGCTATGGAATACTTACTATGAGGCATGCAGACGTCCTCAGTCTCCACTGAGTTAACCTACTCTGATATCTAAATAAACCACACAAACTGTATTTTTCTTTTATTGTCTAGATTTTCCTCACACTTTTATAGGAGAGGCCTTGAGATCACATGGATGCTTGCTCTGACCCTGCTATAAAATCTTGAAGGCATGGGTTCACGTAAGAGGGAGTGAATGTGAGGCCCATGGAAGACCTTGTGGCAGGGGAGATAGTGTCTCTCTTAGTAGCCTGGGAGATGGGTTCATGCACTTTAGTAGTTGGACACCTTTGTCTTGGTACCTTGCAATACAGTCTCCTGCACTTGTATAGAGAGGTACTGCGACCTGCAATACCAGGACCTATATTATATATTTGAGTCCTGCTTGTGGTGCAAGTATGACTGGGAGCATTGAGGTTGCAGTAGTGAATTACTAGTGCCCTCTTGTGGTAAATGCTTGTTCCAGTGCCTTATTTTTATTATAGGGAACACTTGAGATGCTTAGGAGGTATAATATGGTGTATAACAAGGGCAGGGAATCTTTTTTTTGCCTGGGGGCTGACCCACAGAAAAATCAGTCAGGGGCCACCCACAAGTGAGAAGCAAAAAAATAAACAAAAAAGCAAACCCCTCAGTGACCCTCAGGTTTGATCTGAGGAAGTGGGTCTGACCCACGAAAGCTCATCATCTAATAAACCATCTTGTTAGTCTTTAAAGTGCTACATAGTCCTGTATTTTGTTCCCTTACTGAGAAAGACACTCCCCAATTCCCCTCACACCCCAGAGCCTAGGCGGCTCAGGCTAGTAGATTTTATATCCTCCAGCCCTGCGGTAGGGCGGTTGGAGCACCAGGGTGGGCTCCCAATTGCTGAGGGAGGCCCCAAGCCTCGGGGGACGGATCCAGGCAAGTTGGGGGCTGGATTCGGCCCCCGGGCCTGAGGTTTTATGAGCATGAGTCAGACAGCATGGGAGGAGAGGGTGTCTCTCAGGCCTATTTTATACTGTATGGTTAAATCAACATAAGCTGCCTTGTGTCAGTCTAGCTGTGGAAGTGTCTTTATTTGAATTTGTCTACCACCAACTTAAGTGTCTTTCATTTCCGATTCAGTAACACCACCTGCCCGAGCAGCATAGAGTAATGGGCAACGTAATTATATCAATGCAGTATCATTGCAGGCTACTATTGTCGACTTTCAGGAGCCATCCCACAATGCCCCACACTGACAATACAATTGATATGTATTGATACGATACTGGTGAGGACGTACACTGCTGTCACAAGGAGCTAAATGTGCGCACTCAGGCAATTAAATAACTCTGGTGGCTGTGTGCTGATGTAAGGTGGGTCAACAAAATTTGGTTGTGCAGATATGGCGTGAGACTTTGTGGTGTTACTTGACGATTTGAGCCGAGGATTTTGCACACATACAAAAGTCTAACTTGTGCCAAGAAAAGGGGCTTCTGTGCAGTAAACTAGTCGCGATATTTTGTGCTGGTCTTTGATACATTGGTGTTGGATCAAGTTATTTCTGCTCTTGGACTGGTGAGGAAGTCATCAAGGATAAAGTGTGGTCTGAGCCTGAAAGTTAGGATCTCCTGAGTTTTAAATCCAGCTTAATCATTGCTTCAGGTCACATAGCATGTCAACTATCTTCACCTCTCTGTGTTTCCATTTCCACATCTGTAATACAAGAGTGACAATTCCAAGCTCTTTGGGAGTTGTGAGCTTAACTGTATTTCTAAGATGCCTCTTATCTTGGTGAAGTGTAAAGCTCTTTGGAAATGGAAACTCCCATGTAAGTGTTAAATATGATTCATAATTCAGCTCCCTGTTGATAAGCAGAACGCGGAATATATAGTGTTTGGTTTTTGAAACATAATGATTAAATTTCCTAATATTTTTTCACTGGTTTAAAAAAAATACAACTCCTTTTTTTGCTATGTGGCTAGCTATCGTTAGAGAGTTGCTGTGAGGCCTAATTAATTAATTAATATGAATTAGTTTGAAATCATTGGATAAAAGATGCTAAAGAAATACAAAACATCATTGGATCCCATAGATGGGACATCCCCAGCTTCATACCAAATTCAGTCTTTCTGCACAGGACGATAAAACTCTGGACCAGAGAGATGTACCTTTGAACTAGGGCAATGAAGGACTAGTCTACTATCCAATAAGCAAATACTTATCAGATAGTCAACAAGCTTATCAACTAGTCACTCCCCCCCCAGAAACAGGCAGCAAGGAGTGGGGGAAGAAGGGGATACTTCAAAGTGGCAGCGCTGCGTGGATCCTGGTTCCATGCAGCGCTGCTGCTTTGAGACCCTGCCACGGGAGCCCGGCATCAGGCTTCTCCTGGCATTTCAAAGTGACAGTGCCACTCAGAACCCAGGATCAGCTGAGGACTGATCCTGGGCTCCATGCGATGTTGCCACTTTGAAACACCAGAGGAGCCTGATGCCAGGCTCCTGCAGCATTTCAAAGCATCAGCGCCATATGGAGCCCAGGACTCCCCAGCTGATCCCAGGCTCCATGCAGCGCTGCTGCTTTGAAACTCTGGGAGAAGCCTGATGCTGGGCTCCCACAGCGAAGTTTCAAAATGGCAGTGCTGCACAGAGCCCAGAGTCAGCAAGGAGTCTCCTGTTGATCCCAGACTCCAGTGGTGCTTTTGCCTTTGAAGTGTAGCAACAGCCCTAGAGCTGTTTCTACACTTGAAAGGTGGAGACGCCCTGTCGAATAGTCGATACAAAATGCATCAACTATTCAATTAGTCAATTACCCGCAATTTAACATCCCTACTTTGAACTCCGTTTAATAACAATACTTTGGACTTCTGTAACAAATTCTTCCCCTGTGGAACTCAAAGCCATTTGCAAACATTAAGCCCTGGAGATGGGTGATTTGTTATCCTCTGTAGGCATGTAAAAAACCCGAGGCACGGAAAGGGGAAATGACCTGCCCAGGATCACACGGAAAGTCCAGTGGTGAAGTCAGAAATGTACACATATTGATTTCCAGTACAGATGTAAAAGTGTAACCATTTAAATGATTAACCGATAAACATCAGCTTATCAGTTTCTGTTACAGTTACATGCCGGCTCCCCGGAAGTGGGGCAGCTGGGGAGCCAGTTTCACTGTGGGCTTTGCAATGTAAAGCTTACATACGGGATTTTTAGCGGTTGCATGGTTACACTTTTTAACGATTTTTTACATCCCTACTTTCCAGTCTCACATTCTGTCTACTATATCATGCCATTTACTTCTGAAGTGTAATTATCCAGTATGTTTCTTTCAAAATGGCACGCATGATCTATCTTTCAGGGGTTTCTTTGACTCATAGTAACTAATGACTCCTTAGAGGTGCTGAGCACTTGCATCTTCCAATGGATTACACTGAAGCTGCAGGAGCTCTGCATCTCTGATGTCCAGGCTTTTGGGTCACATGTGATCTGTGGTCCATGAAAGAGCTGCTATTCATGTCGTTGCTCATATTTTCTAGAACAGCCGTGGCCAACCCACGGCTCATGAGCCACATGCAGCTTTTCCTCCCTCCCCTTAAAGTGTGGCTTGCAAAGCCTCCCCTGTGGCTCGCAAAGCTGCCCCTGTGCCCCTAGAAATAGCCCCTGGTTCCCTGTGCTCACCGGGTGCTGGGGAGCCGTCTGGTGCGGCGAAGCCAAATGGTGTTGGCAAGATGGCACCGGCCAATGGGAACCTGACGTGGCCAAAAAGCCAACCTGAGGTTTTTTTAAAGGGGGCAGTGTCTTTTTTTTTTTTTTTTTTGCTTGACAACATTTTTCCCCCAGCTCTTTGCACTATATGCACAACTGTTTTGGCTCTTTGCCCGTAATGGGTTGGCCACCCCTGTGCTAGAAGATCCTCGTCCAATACTGTGGGGCCTTAACATAAAAGTATTTTCAGAGGTGTCCATCAGGTGGCACTGTAACCTCACTCTTATTTTCCCTTTACTTTGCAGACGGGCTCTTCTCCTGGAACTGAGAATGCAGTGTCTCGGGAGCCACTGGTGAGTTCCTCGATATGCAGAGTATCATTTCCTTTCAAACTATTAAACTCCTTTTATGAATTGCTCTCTTAGTTGCACCATTTTGCATGAGCACTTCCTCTCATAAGTGCACGTGCTAAGAGAAAAGGTCTAAACCATTCATGCTGCCCTGCTAGTGACCTCTGAATTCTAATCTTTGCCTATCACCTCCTCCTTTCCAGGGGTTAGTTGTGGGTCAGTCAGTCCTCCTTGCTTATCTGAGCCTTGGGCTGTCTTTGAGCAGAAACTGCTTTTCCTAAATGTGCGTAGTGTGTGCTCTTGATCAGTGTGTATTAGGATATGTCTACACTAAAAAGTTTTGTCAGAAAAACGTCTGTTTTTCTGACAAAAGCTGTTATTTCCACACTGCAATCGTGTTCTTCCAAAAGTAAATCAAAAGAAGAGGGGTTTTTCTGGCGTTGGTAATCCTCTTTTCTACGAGGAAGAAGCCTTTTTCTGAAAGAGCTCTTTCAGAAAAAGGCATGTGTGGACGGGGAAGAGGGAGTTCTTTCGAAAGAAGAGGAAAGAGGAAAAAGCCCAGGTGCCCTGGTGGCCACTCCGTCCATAATAATCACAGCTTAAATGCGAGATAGTGTGGACACTGTCTTTCGAAAAAGCAGATCGCTTTTTTGATGTGCTTTTGTGTGTGGACGCTCTCTTTTGGAAAAAGTTTTTTTGGAAGATCTCTTTTAAAAAAGTACAGGACTATGTAGCACTTTAAAGACTAACAAGATGGTTTATTAGATGATGAGCTTTCGTGGGCCAGACCCACTTCCTCAGATCAAATAGTGGAAGAAAATAGTCACAACCATATATACCAAAGGATACAATTTAAAAAAAAGTGAACACATATGAAAAGAACAAATCACATTTCAGAACAGAAGGGGGATGCGGGGGGAAGGAAGGTAAATGTCTGTGAGCTAATGATATTAGAGGTGATAATTGGGGAAGCTATCTTTGTAATGGGTAAGATAGTTAGTGTCTTTGTTGAGACCGACACGTAGAGTGTCGAATTTTAGCATGAATGACAGTTCAGAGGATTCCCTTTCAAGTGCAGATTTAAAAGGCTTCTGGAGCAGGATGCAGGTAATTAAGTTATTGAGACTGTGTCCTTTCTGGTTGAAATGACAAGAAACTGTTTTTTCTTTGTGATCCTGTCTAATATCTGTTTTGTGGGCATTGATCCTTTGGCGAAGTGTCCGGTTGTTCTGAAGGAAGCCTGCAGTCTAGACATAGTCTTAGTGAGGAATCTGAATCCATTGAAGAAAACCTCTGAGACATAAGACCTGCAATCCTGAAAGTTACTGTCTAAGAAAACTAACCTGCCAGTTCAGAAACCTCATCCCCAGTTGACTGCATCATGCTCAAATAAGGCAGGAGCGAACTCAGCAGTGGCTGGCTGCAGGTATTGCATGTCATCCAATGTTTTGACTTGTACTGTTTTGAAAAGGGCTCTGAGATTTGTGTGCGTGATGATAACCACGAGAAACCTCATCTTCTTATAGTGCTGTGGTTTGGGAATCGAGCCACCATTTTTCTCTCCTGGATTGCAGCGACTTTATATTACTGTCTCCTGGTTTCTCTACTTCACCTTCTGGCCCAATCAAAATACTGCCAGAATAGTTGCCCCCTCTACTTCTCTAAACAATACATCACCTCTCTCTTTAAGTCTCTTCACTAGCTTACCCTCAGTGTAGTTTTCAGTGGGAATTCTGAGTGCACGACGAATATGGACCAGGCTCTCTGTCGGTATCATTAAGCTCTGACTGCTTTCTATAAGGGCCCTACATTGGTAACATTAAACCTCTTGCATTTTGGATTCTTTGACTGGAGCATCCAGGAAGCTATTTTTTAATGGAAGGAAGCATTTCCTTAGAGATGGTGAGTTAACAAGTGAGGCTAAAGACATATCTTATAGAAGGAATGCTGCTCATGGACTGGTAAATTTGGAAACCTGAGCACAGAAGCCTTGTAATGAATATCCTTCTAGCTTTGTACCGCTGCAAGTGTGCCCTAATTCAGGGATGGGCAGTAATTTTCTCAGCGGGGCCACTCCACAATTTTGGTAAGTCGTTAGGAGACCGCTCAGGCCCTTATAAGGGTAGGGGTTTTCGGTGGAAAGGGCAGGACAGGGGGCTAGAGAGAGAGAGAGAGAGACTGTGTGTGTGTGTGTGTGTGTGTGTGTGAGAGAGAGAGAGAGAGAGAGAGAGAGAGAGAGTCATTCATTGTCTCTTTTAAGACAGGGAAAGCTGCCCTGCTCTGTTGTCTTCCCCACTCCCCGGCTCTGCAGAGATGAGGTATATGTGGGGGAAGTGTTTGTCTGAGTGTTTATACGAGAAAGAGACCTGGCTTCTGGAGAAATCTAAAAAACAGTGCACTGTCTCTTAAATCTCAGTCACTCACCACACTTCAGACTGGAGCAGCTCCATTGTATGTCTCCCTCTCTCCGACCCCTTCTCTTCAGAGATAGGGTACAGAGGATACCCTGACTTTGGCAACCTCCCTACTTCCCCCTCTCAGCCACCTCAGTAGGAGAGTCCTGGACCAACTTGGCTGTAGGACAGAGAAAGGTGGGAGGAGGGGCAGCTGAACACACGCTGCTGGCATGCTCTGCTAATCAGCTGAGTGGGCCAGACAGAAATGCTGGGTGGGCTGGATGTGGCCTACGGGCCATACTTTGCCTACCTGTGCCCTAATTGGTTGAAGCTCCCTATGTCAAGATTTGCCCTCACTGGTGTCCTGTTGTTTGAGAGTTTTTTCCCAGGAAGCCCAGAAAAACCCTCACAGCTGGCGCTGACACTGGTCTAGAAGTCATTCTCTTTCCAGGTTAACTCTTCCATTACCTACTTTTTAATTAATATCTCTCCTCTTTTTTATATACAGCTACATAAGTGTTCAGAGGAAAGAAAAACACATAGCAGCTATACTTGTGTGGGAGGGTAGAGATATAAAATACAAACAACAAAGAACCCCAAATAATGGTGAATTCTGCATGTGCAGTAATCAGAGCCCTGTTGAAAGGTGGAGCCTTTCTCCATATTTTTTAATTAATTTTATATATTAAACTCTCTGAGGCTCTGTCACATTTGCTTAGGAGGCATTATTGCTTAGCTGAGTAGCTGTAGAAGCCTTATTAAATGAACAGTTCAGTTCTGTGAGCTAGATGACTTGCCCCACACTTTCTTCTGCCGCTTCTTCACCCCCACCACAATGTATGTTCCTCCCATGTATCAAATGGGGCTTGGACCCTTGCAATGGCCTTGTAGACCACTGACACCTGTCACAGGCTTGGATGTGCTCTGCACTGCCTCAGTGGGTGCACAGTGGCCATCCTGTAGTTCCTTTCTCCCAGGGACACTTCGACAAAAACAGTGAGCCTTGGATCATGTAACAAAGTCCCCTTCTTGGGGCTGGTTTCATGAGAAAGCATCAGTCTCTTTCCCCCACCTCTCAGCAGGACATATTCAGTCTCTCCCAACCTCTCCCTCTGGGCAAACAGTTCTTCCCTAATATCTCCTTAGGCTGTTCAACACTGAACATAAACTCAAGCCTCCTCAGCTGTTTCCCTGCCCTCTTCCCACTAGAGGGGTAGCGGATTACCATAGCTTCTTTTTGGGTCCCAGGCTCACTCAATTCCAAGCTGCTTTTCAGTGTCCCTTTTCCAGAGCTCAGCTTCTGTTCTGCCAGCCCTTCACTGATCCTGGGTTGGTGTCTGAATCTACTTACTGCTGAGCTCCCAGTTCTATTTGTTTCCTTTCCCCACAACTAATTACAATTAAATTCCTTTCCAGAAGGCCTCAAATCCCTTTTGAAACTTCTTTTAAACTGAATTAATTGTCCCACATTAGGGGTTTGCTGGTAAGGCATAGGTGCACTGGTCCTAGTCATCCCTACGGGCCAGTCATCGTTTGACAGTGCTAGACTATACAATGTTCACATAAATCCTAATGATTACATGCACACCCTCTCCCCCTGCAGCCTCTGTATCAGAGGCAGCAAGGGGCAGAGAGGCGAGAGCTGGTGCCAGTGGGGAGCTGGCTTTTAAGCCTGCCCCCTGCATGTGCTGGCTCCCATACAACTGCCTGCCCCTCTGTGCTGCTGCCTCAGATAGAGAGGCAGCAGGGCAGGGGGTGAGGTGGGGCAGGCAGGAGCCAGTACACACAGGAGGTTGGGTTTCAAGCCAATTCCCTGTGCGTACTGGCTCCCACGGAGCCACCTGTCCCCCACACTGCTGCCTGTATAACAGAGGCAGGGCAGGCGGAAGTGACAGCCTGTGCTCATCAGGGGCTGACTTAAAAGGTAGCTCCCTGAAAGCACCGGCTCTTGCCTACCTCCCTGCGTGTGAACGTGTAACCGCTAAAAATCCAGTAGTTACATGTTTACACAAATACACATTTGTTAACATCCCTAATAATCAGTAGAAAAAAATGTGGCTGCTGTCCACAAGTGGACTGTGTGTTGGGGGAAAGAGATCTCTGCATCCTGGTGTAGACCCACTCACTTCAGAATTGATATAAAGCAATGGTAGGAGGAAGCTTGTTTCCATAAACTTGCAGAAGCTAATATTGGAAAATAGAATTGTGACCAAAATGTGCTTAGTACCCCCAACTCCCTTTTACTTCATTGGGGGTGGAGGGTGCTCAGCAATTCACAGGATGGGTCCTCGTTTGAAAGAACAAGAGGAGAGTGCTTTCATAGATATCTATGACAGAAGAAGGAAGAAGGCAGGTATCTTTTGCCAGGTCAGGGAATGCCACTTTAGGATCAAATCCTGCTTGCGTTTTGTGTGCAGCTTGAATGGAGCTAACCAGACACCCAACCCTGCATGGTTCTCAATGCTGCATGCTCTGTGCTGAACATCCTGTCCTCCCCTGGTTTCAGCGAGAGAGCAGGCTCAGTGGCAGCCGTTGGCGCTCAGTATCTTACAAGAGGCAGTCTGCCTTCTGTGCATTCAAGCGAACAGAATATGCATCTTCTCTGCT